ACACACCAAAGTCTCTTAGAAAAAACGGTTGAAGCCGTCAGACGAGTGGATATGCTGAAACTTCGGAGCAGCTTTGACGCAGCTCAAAGTGCTTTACATCATAAAAACATCACCGATTTTGAAACAAGAAATAATCATTACATTTTGTCAAATGCCACCATCAAATACCTTGATCAATGTTCCAGTTATTATGAATTAAAAGCAGCTCTGAACAGCTGGGTTTTCAGTCTAGACTTAAAGGAACTCAGTGTTTCATCTGTTTTTCAGTTTTCTGGAAGTTTGTTCCAGATTTTGGTGCATAGAAGCTGAATGCTGCTTCTCCATGTTCAGTTCTGGTTCTGGATACAGAGCAGAACCAGAACCAGAAGACCTGAAAGGTCTGGAAGGTTGATACAACATCAGCAGATCTTTCATGTATTGTGGTGCTAAGGCGTTCAGTGATTTATAAACTAACATCAGTATTTTAAAGTCTATTCTCTCAGTAAACTGAGTGATGTTATCTATCTTAATGGTTTTAGTCAGAACACCAGCAACAGCATTCTGGATCAGCTGCAGCTAGAGGATTGATGTTTTAGTCAGACCTGTGAAGACACTGCTGCAGTAATAAGTGCAACTAAAGATAAACACATGGAGGAGTTTCTCTAATGCTGTGACATCAGTCCTTTCATCCTGGAAATGTTCTTCAGTTGATAGAAGGCCGACTTTGTAACTGTCTTTATGTGGCTCTGAAGGTTCAGGTCAGAGTTCATCACTACACCTGGATTTTCACACACCGTCTTTGCTGTGCGCCGTGCTCAGATCCTTCAGCTAAACCGAACAAGGTCCAATAATGTTGATCAGTACTTTAATTGATTTCTGAATGTCAGAATTTCTGATCAGCTTTGAGATTGTTACTAACAGTCATAGTTAGCTATGAGACACAGAGAGGTGGACCAGAAGGTCTTAAAGTCAATGTGTTTATCTCACACCAACCTTTGCTTTCCTGACACTCTCCTGAACCTCTGTGATCTTCTGCTCCACACTGAGCCCCGTCTCCCCTGACAACAGCTTCCTTCGACTCTCCAGCACATCCAGAGCCTGGCAAAGAAAACCAGACTAAACTGTCTACACAAGAAGCAGCAAGAAAATATCTTCACATTTGTGTGTATTACTGATGCTGGCACCTGAATATTCAGTGTTTATTGGTTTCAATTCTTTGAAGAAATGAAACAGATTTGTTCAGCTGGTCAGACAAGATGGGAAGATGGATAGAGATAAATACAGGACAATACAGGACACGAGACCCTAAGAGAGGTCAATAGAGACTGGGATGAAGGTTTACCTTCAAGCAGGACAAAAACTCTACATCCATCCTACATCCTTAGTAGCTCAAACCATATTAAGGAGGCCTACTCAAAGTCCAGACCTATTTCCAATTAGCAATCTGTGACCTGAAATCCAGTGTTCCCAGATGCTCAATCAGTCAATCTGAGCTTTTCAGGACAACATATCAGTTTGTAGACGTGAAAAATGTGAAATGATTCGTAGACCTAAAGACTTGCAGCTATAGTTGTGGTAAAAAGTGCTTATGCAATGTATTGTTTCAGGAATACAATGCCACACTTTTCTGGTCAACATTTGCTATATGTTTTTAGAAACGAAAACACTCCCCAATTCACTACTTTGTGGAGTCTAATAAACTTTGAATAAAATGCATCAAAGTTTGTGGTCAGAATGACACAAAATAAGGAAAAGATTGAGGGGTATGAATACTTTTTAAAAACACCACAGTGTTCTCTAAAGGCATTCAAACTGATAATAAGTAAAGCATAGTTTCAGCGGCTTACATTCTGCACAGTGTAAATATAAACGTTGTAAATGGTAACAGCTGATGGTTTTCATCCAGGACATGTTACTGTGGAATATCATCTCTGGTGCCCAGGTATTAAGCTGTTAGCATGCGATGATGCTCATACAGCTACAGTCTTCAGTCAGAGATCCACAGCATCACCATCCACAACAACTCTTTGAAGAAACTTAGATCATATTTTGGAATTGAATTGAATTGTCCCCCTTTGGATTGTTTCAGTTGTGCAGTATTTCTTCAGATGTTAGAACAACAAGCTGACATTTATGGCATATATGGAACTTTTTAATAAAGCGAACATATATTCAGCCATATATTTACAGTTGGACCAGTTGGGAAGACAAAGATAGAGCAATCTTTAACTCCAGGATAAAAGGGTTACAATGATACACTTAAAAAAATTCTAAAAAAATATAAAAAAAATCTAAATAAGGGAAAAGTTAAAGGTCAAGTGCAGAGTTGTGGCTCTGTGTTCTGCTCACCCTTTCCCCATGAGTGGCGATCTTGTAGTCCTTGGCAGCCTTGGCTGCCCATTTCTTGGCCTCCTTCACCAAGCAGCTCTCTCCCTCAGAGTCCCGGATGTCCTGCAGTGCAGTTGTCTGTGTGAAAAACAAACTTAAATCATTTTTCCTGAGTCCTGCAGGGCCAGAGGAACATCAGCTGCTGGTGTGTTGCTGACTAACTTCGCCTTCAAATCTCCTTCACGGCTACATATTTTTTATTATATCAATGTGTCTTCCTGTCTTTTTGGTTTTCTATTGTGATCATTTTTGTTTGTAAGGTTTGGCCATACACAGTTAATTTCCTCTGGTTTGTTGCTGTCATTAATGTTTATATGCCCTTTGTTTTGAGAACCTTACTTATCTCTTGTGTTCTGTTCTCTGTGTATTGTGTATTTTTCTCCCTCTGAGTTGTCTGGATTAGTCAGTTTCTCCTGCTCAGTTTTCTCCCACAGCTGTTCAACATTCCTCTGGTTAACGTCAAGACACGGCTCCTCTACAGACCACTGGAATTATGAGATCAAGTATTCACATGAGTATGTAATGGAAATCCTGCCAGTACAAACACAAACCAGTCTGGCAGTAAAACTTGACCTTCTGAATTTCAAAGTTCTCGGACTCAACAAATTGCTGTGCAGTTCAGACCAAAACAGACATCAGGTCAGTCATCAGGTCCCATTAACTTCACCGTTTTCTAACAGCTGCATACATCATCCAAGATGAGTTTCCATCTGATTGGAGACAAATTGGATCCAGTGTGTCTTGGTCTTTAGGCTCCTTTGTCACTGATCACATCTCCTCTGTATCTAAGTTCCCCGATATTCATTGGTCATTGCTGGACAGTATAAGACTCTCAGTCAAGTTCATGAGTGCCTCTGTGTTCTTGTGTTCTCTCTAATATAAGTTTGTTCAGTTCTCTTGTTAAATTTTGTTTAATTGGACCATATGGTCCCTGTATGCTGTCTTTGACAGAAGGAACCTCTTTTTTTTTTTTTTTGTAAAGCTGAATTCTGTTTCCAGTCAGTTTGAAATCAAATCCAACTGAGATGATGTGCTTTGACCTTAAAAAGGCGGTCAATGCTCAAAACCTGTCAGGATGGCTGAATTAAAACAAGTCTGCAAGTAAGAGCGCACCAAAATTCCTCCACAGCAAAGTAAGCGGAACTCACTAAGCGTTACCAGGGGTGACACAACTAGTTACTAGGTCACTACGTTACCTTTCCTCATTGAGCCACGTTGGTTTAGATACCTTTTGCTTCTTTAATAAATAAAATCATCGCTTGTAAACTGATTTTAGTATTCACTTTGTCTGATATTTAAGTTTGTTTCATGATCTTAAGCTTTTCACTGCCAAACAAAAAAAAATCTGTAAGAAAGCAAAACTTCTTTCACAACTTCACCAAATCAATGAATGAAGAAGGAGACAAAGCAAAGGCACACACCACGTCCCGCAGAGCAGGCTGGAAAATGAAATCTGATGTTCTTGTGAAGGAAATGGATTCCTGCAAAAACTGCTGAACATTCCTCTCTCTGGTCACCTGAAAACAAATAGTGTGCATCAAATTAAATGTTCACTGATCATCTGAAAAAACATTCAAAACATTCATCCTGCCTCACAATTAATTCAGAGTTTCAGATTCTTTGATTTTGGCTCCAGATGTTCAGAGAGCGACTCAAGACAAACTCCTCTGCTTCAGTGATGTGGTGGTGGATTTCTCTCTGGAAACATCTCTCCTTTAAGCGCTCCAGCACCATATTTATTTTGGCTTTTTCGCCGTTTGGCCCGACTTTGTCTTAAGACAAAGTCGGTGACCAAGTGACCTTGTCTTTGCCCTATTTGGCTGCTCCTGCTCTGCTCTCTCTCCTCTTTGTGAGCCTTTTATTTTTCTGCTGCTGCATGGGAATGAGGAATGTCCCATGTCTGGTCTCAGACAACATTCTGGCATGTTCCACCTGGAAAGCCCCACACTGAAGAAGTGGAAAGGGTTTAGTTTAGCAATCCTATCACTTTTTCTAATAACCCAATGTAAAATACAGATAAACATATTAATAAATACCATTATAATATGCAATTTTCTATTAAATTCCTTCGTTCTTTATTTCAGTGACCCTTTGTTAAAGGGGCAGTAAAATCAACTTTTAACATCAT